TCACCAGCCTGGGTCTCAAAGGTTTAAAACGACTGTTTGAGATTTAAGAGGCTTGAAATGGAGAAACCATCGGGACGGGCTGTTGTATTTCCCAACGGAATGACGACGGAAAGAAGCCTTGATGATTTATCGGTTAATCAAAGATCCTGGAGTTCATATTTGTTGTTGTTGAAATTCGGGCTAACGAGGGATATCAGCAAAACAGGTGAGGCCTTCTTTCTGAAATTCCGCCTTGAACTTCTATCGAACATATCGAACGCATCATACGCCCAAACAAATTACTAATGACATCGAATCTAGGTCTCGGGTATCCCACTGGGTGTTGACTCAAGGGAGAGTTCACGATAAAGGTGGTACAGCCTGGGCAAAAGCTCCCAGGGTTGCTCGCATCCATAGATAGTGGAGATACGTACCTAGATCTCATCCGATCATGAGAAAGCCTCATATACCCCCTCGACTCCATTCCTGTCACCAGCACAGCAGGCGCCCTCTAGGTCGGGGGTCAGGTCAAACTGTGGCGTGGGTGGTGGAATGGTTCATGGTCAACAATCAATTCATACACCAACCAGCCTACTCGACGACAGGCTTAGCGAGTACCCGAGTTCGAATCCCAGCATGAGCGCCAAGAGATGTAGCCCCCAATCGGCACCGGGGGGGGTGAACTCTTTTGTATTTTTGAAGAAGTCGATTTATATTGAATCAGTCTCGGTGTAAGTCGGTGAGTGACGAGTGACGTCTGGCCCGTTACCCTCACCGAGACAAGCAGGGATCTGGGTCCCGAGACGCCTTCGTGTTCCCCGCCAACCCCACCATCACCACCTCTCTCCCCCCAACTGAACTAGAGCTCCAACTGCAAGCCAGCAACTTTACCTCCGATCCGAGCTGCACCACCTCCAATCCTCAACCTCCCGCGAAGCTCATCATCCATCCTCACCACGAACACCCGCCTGCGCGCGCACTACCCAAATCCCACACAGACCGGCATAATCCATACCAAAAGTCAAGAAAGCAAGTCTCGCCCAAGATGAACCACATAACCAACCCAAACGAACCCTTCCCAACCCCCTCCGCCCTCGCCGCCGCAACGACAACCCACACCCAGCGCAACTTCCGCGTCGCCTCCCGCAAGCTCCCCATCTCCAAAGCCGGCCCCATCGACGACATGACGGCCTCGCTCGGCATCCCCGTCCCCGAAATGATCTTTGGCGACAACCTCGTCTCCGTGTCCCACGTGCCGACGGGCTGGTCCATCGCCTTCAACGCCTACGACGCGCTCGACGCCGTCGACAAGACGGACAAGAAGATGCTGCAGGTCGCCTACGCGCGCGACTGGTCCTCCTCGCGCGAGAAGACGAGCGCGGGCATCAAGGAGGTCGTGAAGCCGTACGACTGGTCCTACTCCACCGAGTACCGGGGGACGCTGGAGGAGCCGACAGGAACCGCGGGTGCGCAGCAGGAAGCGCAGGAGAACAAGAACAAACTCGAGGAGACGACGACGAGGATGATCCCCCTCGAGCTCCTCAAGCGCCGCGACCCGATCCTCTTCTTCGACGACGTGGTGCTCTTCGAGAGCGAGCTCGACGACAACGGCATCTCGATCGTCAGCGTAAAAGTCCGCGTGCACGAGAAGCGCATGCTGCTGCTGTGCAGGCTCTTCATGCGCCTCGATAATGTGATTGTGCGGATCCGGGACACGAGGGTGTACGTCGACTTTGAGACGGACGAGGTCATTCGAGAGTACACGGCCAAGGAGGATAGCTTTGACAGCGTCAAGCGGGTGAGCTTCTTTTTTTTCCCCTATTCCTCCTTCTTTCTTGTTCTCTCTATTATGTTAGAGACCATGCTATGCAATCTCCTCGACTTGGAACCTGCAATGCTAACGAACTACCCCGCAAAGTCACTATTCATGGAGGGCAGGTTGCCAGATGACATTGTCATCGCGCTGCGTGATCCAAACCTACTCAACAACCTGCTGCCGACTGTGGAGCAGACGGTACAGAGCGTATTCCTCAAGAAATGAACACAGAGTTCTCAGTCCCTCGCGTATTGCTTCAAAGAAATACCCCTCCTCGCAAGGGGGATGGATGGCTGGCGTTATGGGTTAACGAAAGGCGTTTCGGACGAACCAGGGAAAAGTATCACGACATTGTAGGTATATCACATTTGCCTCGAGAAAATCAAATGACCACTTGTGAAGAAAGTGAATTAAGCTCTGTTTGTGTGTGTTGTGTGTCACTTGACTGCAGTCTTTTGGGGAGTTGTAAATAATGAACCGCATCGACGACATACTGTCAACAAGGTATGGATAACAACGCAGCGTATACGCTAGAGCTCAACATCAGCTAAACCGCGATGAAAGCCTTCCCAACCCAGTCCGTATAGGTACTTGACGGCTTCATGAACATAGAATACGCGCAAAAAACTCCCACTCTGTCCCTCATAAACACCGTGCCCTCCATTTTGTTCACCAAGCCAGTAATCCGTCAGTACCAAAGACAATCTTGCCCTCCTCTCTCTTTCTACCGTGCATCTCGGTTGGGCGATGATCCCTCCGTCATTTCTTCAAACTCGAGCTGCCAGCGGTCAACTTCTCTAAATTTGCGCGTTGCCTTCTTCAGCTCGTCGGCACTGCGCGTGGGGTCGCTGCTCTCCTGGCTCTCGAGAACGTCGTCCCGAATCGGGGCAAAGCTGTCACCCTCGAATCCCGCTTCGGGTTCCGCTCCAGTCTCCGCCTCTGCCCCTGCTTCACCCGCAACCTCACCCTCGCCCTCGTTCTCCTTGTCCGAGAGTCTGCGGCTGTAAGTGCGTGTTGACGCACGAGTGCTAGGTGCCGCTGTTTTCGCCTTCCCTGCCGCCGCCGTGGCGCGGCCACCACGGGATGGTGGCCTATTTGCCGTGCTACGGTTGAGAGGTGTCGTCTTCGCCCGGCGTGAGCGAGTCCTCGTATCCGCGTATGAGAGCTCGTCGTCATCCTGGGAGGCGTCGGAGTTGCGTGCCTCCTCATCCTCAGAGCCGCCCACGCTATAAGGGTCCCGATTCTTCTTGGAGCGTCTGCGCGGCAGCATGCCCGTCAAATCCGCTGTCGTAACCTTGGGCGCCTTGGCCTGCTTCTTCTGCTTGGACTTATTCCTTGTCGCTGGGAAGTTGGGCGAGTGGGTCAGCGAAGGCGGCGAGGAAGCATCGGAGATGTTGCCATCTCGCGTTGGTGTGGTAGGCGCTTGGCGGCGGCGCTGTTTGGCAAGTGTGCGAATGTCGGGCCACGCCTCGTTGTTATCTTCCGAGTCGCTGCTCTCAGGAGGTGCCATGATGTCTTCTTGATTCGGGGTAACTGGCCGCGGGAAAGCAGAAGGTCTCGTGGGAGTTAGAATAGGAGAAGGCAGCTCGGAGAGCTCTGAATCACTGTCGTCATCGTCATCCAACTCAGGCGCGGGCTCGGATTCAGTCCTTGACGCCTTTCCCGGACGCTCAGTGTCCTCGTGGCTCTCTATGCTCTTCCGCTTCCGTGAGCTGGCGCTTGTTGGCTCAGCGTCTTTTTCGGCGGGCTGAGAATCCGGTGCTAGAACTTGCTGCGATTCTGACTCGAGCTCAGTTGCGGGAGCAGGTTGTGTTCTGCGGCGATTCTGAAGAGGCGTCGACTCGGCCTCGGGCTCAAAATCTTCACCATCCTCATCGTCGGACTCGGACCCGGACGATACCTCAATCGGCCTCTGTGCGCGCTCCTTCTGCGCCGTCCCTAGAATACTTGGTTCTCGTTGACGGCGTTTAAACAGACCAATGTTGAAGGTCGAGCTGATACTAGGCGTGCCACCGACTCCACGACTACTTGGTCTAATGGGCGCATCGTCCTTCTTGATACTGATACTCGGCGCGCGACCCCTCCGTCTAAAGTGGCTCACACTGAAATTTGAGGCTTCGGATCGCGGCGCACTTGGAGGCGCAGCGGCATCATCGTCGTCATCGCCGAGAGTCGTGTCAAGTCCCGTAAACATATCGTCGTCCAAATCCAACCCCGTCGTGTCCCTGCGCTGCTGAACTGGCGTTGCGCGTGTCTTCCGTCCCACTTCGACCGACGAATCCGACTTTTGCTGTTCGCTGGATGTCTTTGCCTTGGAAGCCGCCGTTTCGACTGCGTCCTCCAGCTTGCTCATATTATCGTCCAACGCATGACCCGCCTTGCCCGGCACCTGCCTCTGGCGCAAGCTGGAACTCCTGCTTAGACGCGTAGACGGACCTTCCTTGAAGAGAGATGTGTCCTCCTCTGCAAGCTCCTTCCTAATGACAGAATGTTCGCGATCGCTGTGGCTGTAGATATCGCTGCCTGACGCGGGCGCGGGGCTCGATCTTGCTTCAGGCGCGGCGGGCACAGCTGCGACTGGCTGGGTTGGTGCGCGACGCGCTCGTTTAGGTCGTGGCATGGCGGGCACTTGATGTTAATGGAAACTGCAGAGTGTCTGGGGTGACAGCTATTCAATACTATGGAAAGGCGTCGTGAAGAATTGTCGTACGAATATCTGACCGGGGCGTCAGGCTGCGACCTATAGTGATAAGACGGGGGAGGGTCTGTGATATTTTGATGTGGTGTGGGAGGGAAACGCCTGCGGGCCGGACGCGTCGCGAACTCCAACCTTGCAGGTCCAGCTCGCGACCCACTCCCAAATTGAAAGCAGAGAGCTAGCGCCACACCACTAGCCACAATTTGACTTGGAGAAACTGTCAACAAGCTGTCACAGACTCACAGTTCATTATGCATGATGTTATCTGAAGTTTATCGAAAGGACGTGTTGCTAGTAATGGCTTGGTCTATTGGTTGGTAGAAAATGTTTCATTAGGGAGCTGAGACCTCGCTCTTCACCATCATGTCTCCTGAGCCGAATGTATCCCAGGTATCTGTGCATCATCCCATCCCTTTGCCTCGACTCTATCTGTTTTTTTAGTGATATACAAGGTGTTTTACATGAATGTTGTACATTGTTTTTGTTTATCCGTGCCATGAGTGGTCACTAGATAAGTGCCTGACCCATGAACATGCTCTCCTTAACCTCGGCAACGACGTCCTTCTTGTCATCCTTGCCAACAAGCACAATGCCTCTTCCACGTCGTCCCATGCGACCCGCTCTTCCCAGGCGATGGATAAAGTCGATGGTAGTGTGCGGGACGTCGTAAAGAATAACGTGGCGGACAGCCAATGTGTCAATACCTCTAGAGGCCAAGTCGGTGGCAACAATGACCTTGGTGTTGGGCAGCGATCGTTTGCCTGGTACGGGGGCCTCTGGTGATGACACTGCGCGCAAGGGTTCTGAAGAAGTGAAGGCTTTCAGCATTTCGGACTGGCGGCTCTCGGCTGCGTCCCGGTTCAACGCAATAGCGTCGATGCCCTTAGATTGAAGGTATTCAGCAACCTCCGTTGTCTTCTCACGTTCGTTGACAAACACCATAATTCGGCGGACGTCGATTTCACCTTGGATCGGGCCCTCGTGCTTGGAGGCTTCTCGACCAATAGTGTAGATGGCATCGGCGCAGGCCAGGTTCTTGTTGTTGCGGTAAGGGTCCTTGACAACATCAATGACACCGAGTTGAACTCTTCTGGGGATAGCATGAAGGTTCGGCGTTGTGATTCTCGTCATGTTGGGGAAGTTGTTGGCGAGGTAATTGTCCAGTCGTTTGGGTATTGTTGCTGAGCAGAGTATGAACTGCTTCAAGGACGGCATCGCCCTATCAATGATGGTCGTGGTAACGGGGGCAAAGCTTCGGTCAAAGAGCGAGTCCGCCTCGTCGACAATCAGATGGGTGACTTGAGAGAGGACGTTGGGATCGGACTCGGCAATCGAGGCTAGCAGGTGAGGCGTCGTGACAACCATGTCGACACCACGCGGCGAGTACAGATTGCGCTGGATCGTCAGGGCCTTGAGGTTGGCGGAGAGAACCTCTGCCTTGAACTTGACGGCGTGCGACAGGGTTTTGGCCACCTTTCCAACCTGTTCCACGAGCTCTGCAGAAGGGACCAGAACGATGATGCGAGGTCTAGCCATGGTCGGGTGAGGCTCATCGAATGCAGACATTTTCTTGGACTTGGGGCCCTTGTTGGCCTTCTGTTCTCTTTCCTTCTCCTCCTGGAAGCGCTTCATGAAGGACTGGATCTCAGGGTTGGCTTCCTCAGCGATCTTCATAGCGTTGACGGCCGGCAGCATGTACGCCAACGTCTTGCCAGAACCAGTCTCGGCAGCAAGTAGAAAGTCTTGCCTCTTCTCGCCCCGGACTTTGAAGGCGCTAGCCTGGCCCAGCATGGCTGGAATAGCAAGCCTCTGGATGGGCGTTGGCTTGATTTCCACCATTCCTCGCAGAAGGTCATCCTTGATGCCGTCCTTCATTATGGGTAAGAGGTTGAATTGGTCGAATGATTCGTATTCTTGCATTTTGTCTTTCAAAACATTTCTCTTTCCGTATGAGACCCCCGCCAGAGACCGTTGCATTTTCAAAGCCTTTCGCGGATCGGAAGAGGTCTGGGAATCGCCTCTGTTGTACCTGTTTGAAGAGCCTCTCCCATCCCTCGAGTCCCTCGCGTTGGGTGGACGTATCGTGCGCTTTTCGGGTACTCTCGCAAAGGTCTGGTTCATACCACCAAAAGGTCCTTCAACTTGTCGTCGTGGCGGTCTGGCATCTCGGTTTCGGGGTCGTGCAACATCGTCTGAAAGGACCATTCGTGATGGCTTCCCCTTGGTGGCTGAGCGGAAGCCGGCGCTTTGTGTATACCATGGCGAAGTCGTTAAGCGTGGGAAAGACTGCGGTCGCAATGTCAAATGACACTTAGGGCACAGCGATGCCAGTATTCGCGACGACATTGTGGGCGATCGCAAAGGAGTCGACACTGGGCCTGAAGCTTGATGATGAAGGACCGGCAGACACTCTCAACCCCTGGCCTCGAAATTTTAGGAGCTCAGTTGGAGTTTTCTGCGCCAGACCCCCCACGTAATCGGTGTGGTCTAAGCTCCGTGCCGACCTTTGACAGCGCCACCCAAATGCCAGGGGACCGTCAAAACAGTGTCGCCTGCTGATCTTAAGCTTTCGCGTCAATCTTTTTATTATTCGAATCAACTGCCAATTATCAGTTAAAGACTAGGTTAGAATTGACGAGCACATACATAAAAACACTCATTTTTCTTAGTGCAGAACCATCATAAGAAGAGTTGGCACATTGTGTGCATTACAGCCAACAACGAAGTCTGCGGAAAAGAGATCGAATCCAACTAAAGTAAGTCACTTGCGGACCAGTACTGCTTCATCGTGGCATATAAGTTTATACGAGAGAAGAAGTAAGGTATTCTCCATACTCTGTAACAAGAGCATTCCGTGCTGTAGGGCTGGCTGGCCCAAAGAACGGACTCGCCGTGCATGTCTTGGTCAAGTCTTGGCCAAGGATCTGGTAGTGGTAGCTGTGGCTGTGGCGCTCTGCAAGGAAGTGCCCGAGCCTTTTAGGCCCTGTCACCTTCTGATGTTCCCCCCAAAAACCGCACTTCAGAAGTTCAGCTCAAATTATCCGCCCAGTCGATCCCGGCCCCGTGGAACCTCCCTTGGCCTCTCAGCCCCATTGACCGGTGCCTCTTGCCGAGCGGGCGATCCCCTATTTGATTAACCTGATCCTAAGAGGTCACCTATCCCGTCCCAATCTACGCATACGGATAAACTTCCTTTGTCTCCTTCATCGTCACCCGCTCAACATCCGCATATCCTTTTCCCCTTATCATCCTCGGATCTCAAGTCCTGTGAGGACACGATCCCATAATCAGCTTGGGTCGGAAAGCATGTGTATCCAGAGGTGACCAAACCGACGCAATGAGTGCCGATCTCTTGGACCTCGACAGCTTTTATCAGAGCCCTCCGTCACAACAAAACCAACCGGGGGGCCAACAAGGCCAGTTACAACCGCAACGCCCGCAGCAAGTAACGGCATCGTCGACGGACCTCTTTGACTTTGCCTCCTTTACTAGCAACAGCAACAGTGTCGGCAGCAAGCCCGCGGCGGCACCCGCTCCGGCTCAGCAAACCGTACCATGGCCTAGATTTGAGCCGCAGCAACCAAGTGGTGCTGCCGGCGGTGGCAGTAGCAGCAGCGGTGGATGGGGTGATTTCGGCGCTTTTTCATCGGGCTTCACCTCCTCGTCGACATCAAACCAGCAGCCGAAGCAGAATCTGCAGAACGTCGAGGACGATGACGGATGGGGTGACTTTGAGGTTGCGGAACCTACACCCACTCAGCGCTCTTTCGTGCTACCCCCGCAGACGAACAAGGCGAGGTCATCACCGCCGCCTAGGAACCGTATCGCGCGCGCCTCGACGTTTGATCTCATGACCAACAACCTCGTCAATGTCGTCGACATGCCCTATGGCTCGGGCCTGTCGCCCATACCCAGTCCTGGCCTCCCGTCGCCGAACCAGCAACCCGGGGCCAGTTCAGGACCTTCATGGCAGCAGACAAACCGACAACCTAGTCCCGGATTATCGTGGCAGACTGCGAACACCAAACCGGCAATTAGCCCAGGGTTCTCATCTCAGGCGTCCTCGGCCAAGCCGCAGCCGAGCCCTGGATTCTCCAGTCAAATGTACGGAACTCAGAAGAAGTCGAGTCCGAAGCCAGCTAAACAGTCGGATCCTAACATTCTCTTTGATGCTGAAGAGTTCGAGCTTCAAGGAGACAACGATGACGATGACGATGATGAATTTGGAGACTTCGAGACTGTTCAGACTCCCTTCCCAGGCGCGGACATGAGCCCGACCCTGGACCCAAGGCCGCCGACCCAACAACAGCCATCACCGCAGCCCGCAAAGCAACAACCACCTTCCATGGACCTCCTCTCTCTCGACGATGACTTCGCTCCAGTCTCGCAGCCTCCACAAAAGAGACCTCAGCTCTCTTCTTTGAATCTCAACGCGCCCACATCGCCGTACCCCCAGGCTCCCAAGTCGCCCTCCTTCCAGGAACGTAACCCCTTTCCAGGGCTCGGTCTCACCACACCCACTTATGGCGACTTCAAGAAGGAGGAAAAGAAGGACGAGAAGCCCGAGTCGCCTACGCCTGTCACAGCCTGGCCAGCTTTCGGACAGACCTCACCCACGAAGCCTTCCGCCGCTAAGAAGCCTTCTGCTACCACCAATCTTCAAAAGACGCAGGAGGAGGACGAGTGGCCAGACTTTGAGGATTTCCCCGACGACGAGCCTTCTGCGATTGATTCTTCCAGGCCCCCGGAGAGCTGGGATTGGGACGCGGTCGACGGCGTCAAGTCGTCCACTCCAGCTCCAGCTCCTAAATCCAGCACCACTAGCACCGCCAAGAAAGCAGCCCCTAAAACCAAGAAAGAAGCATCACTGGCAACAGCCTCAGAAATCCCTGACGACGCCCCGCCGCCCATCAACATTCCTCCTCCCTCCGTTATCCTCTCCATCTTCCCGCAGTTACTCGACCTTGCAAACTCGTCACTCTTCAAACCCACGTCCCAGCTAGCGGCACCCATCCGGAAACGCATCCTCGAAGACCCGAGCACGGTGATCTTCCTCCGCGGCTACCTTCTCCTCGCCACCGTCGCCGCCCGCGTCATCGCGGGCCGCAAGCTCCGCTGGCACCGCGACAAGTTCTTGTCCCAGGGCATGGCCATCTCCGCGGCCGGCGCAAAGGGCATGAAGCTCGCGGGCGTGGACAAAGCGCAATCGGCGCGCGAGGACCGCGAGGCGGCGGACGTGGTAGGCGTGTGGAGGGAGCACGTCGGCAGGCTCCGGTCAGCCGTCGCGGCGGCCAACTCCACCGCCGGCGCCAAGAATCCGCGGGACCAGCTCCGCGTGCCCGAGCTCAACGAGACGATTCCCGTCTCGACGGCCAAGGTGGTGCCCACTGCGCCCAAGCCGTGCGTCATCTGCGGGCTGAAGCGCGACGAGCGGGTGAGCAAGGTGGACCATGAGGTCGAGGACAGCTTTGGGGAGTGGTGGGTTGAGCATTGGGGTCACAGGGCCTGCAAGAACTTTTGGGTCGAGCACGAGAAGCAGCTGCGTCAGAGGTAAAGGGAGACAGAGAGGGGAGTGGTTGTCGTAGTGGGCGGATGATGCGATTTACCTCGCATCTTGTATATAATTGCACTGCACATACATGATACCTCGAGTGCTTCATTTACATGGATTGGCCGGCTAAGGTCTTTTCCCAAATATCAAGGGCATCTAGATTGACAACTCAACAATTCTACAGGTGAAGCTTGACTGGCGAGGCCTTCAGGCACAGTGGCAACTCGAACTGAAAATGTGCAAAATCGGCTTGAGTTATCTCTGCGGCAGTGGACCATTTCTCAGAGGAGGGCCAGGTAAAAAGCTGCGGGATCCTGACCGAAAATTCTATAGCAGCTCCAGCTGTGCATACCTACTGCCTTTACCTAGGCAAGGTAGCTCGGGGTGAGCTGTAGCTTATCAATGAGCAAGGAAGAGGTACAATGCAGTCATGTTTAGTGAATGGCACGGGAGGGCTGCTCTTGGATTTGTTGACGGTTTGATCTACCCCGCTGTTGAGCTGCCTCGGTCAGCCAATCCGGAGTGCTGGAGGTGCAAAGTCTTCAGAGACTGTCCATTGGCATCGCGGCTCTGAGAGCTAGGGTCTCAGCAGCGACGGATGGCCGGACACTAGTCAAATGTCGGCAACGGCATCGTATGGTGACCGGCTAGCGGGGAGGCTGGCATTGAACGAATAGCAGGGCGTGATTGCTTTTCCCGTGCAGTCCGCGTAGTAAAGTGTGTGGCTTCGAGTTACACCAGATAAAGAGCTCTGTTTCTGTCGCAGGAAAGTCGAGAAACTTGACAGATATACGGGCGCTGGGTGCCATGTACTGTTGTATGAGCTGAGTCAATGCGGCGCAGGCGCAAACTCCAATGGGATTCCTGACATGCGATTTTGACAGATGGACGGCGTTTTGAGACCGGGACGAGTGGGAGGCTGGATCTGTCGGTGCCGTTTCGCTAAAGTGTCGGCCGCACTAGCCGGCCGCTCGCTCGACGTGTAAATAAGGGAAAGATGGCGGGGAGCCAAGCAATCAAAGTCACTTGTGCCCGCGCTGGATCACCGTTGACGCACACTGCAGCGCCGCAGCGTGGTGACGGGTGGAGCAGCAAAGTTCCCTTATTGATCGGGGCGTTGCCGTACCATGCTGGAGGAGCCGAGGAGGTTTTTTGGGGAATTGGTCAGCTCCTGGAGCTTGGGACGCCTGATGCGCAGCGACTCGAGCCTGCGACAGCTCTGAGGAACTTATCTGTCACTGAGGTGCAGACTGCGATTGCGATCCGAGCGAGACGGATGATGGCCACAAGAGCCGTTTGGTCGCATGTCGCGTGTCGCAAGTTGGGCAACATATGCCAAGTTGGATTGGACACTTGTTCGATCTGAAAGCTCGCCAGCGAAAGGTCCGATGCGGCTGGGTCAGGCACCACTGGCAGCAGATCCCAGGTAGGCTAGCAATGCGCATTACTTTGAAAGATTCAACCCTGGAATGGAAGACGATTCGAGACGGTCGGGAATGCTTCTTCCCTGTCGTGTGCCCTGGCGGGGATCAGTCCGAGGGAGAGCTACAATACTATGTAAGAGTACTACTGACATGTACTTCAAGAGGCCGCCTGAACGAGGGCCCCGAGCCAAAGTTTGCACCCCACCATTGAGGAGGTGTAAGTGGTGTGAGAGACAGAGGAAGAGATGGATGAATAGGTCTATCGAGGCTCGTGTGCTGAGAGAGGCATCGCAGTCCTTGTGAATATGGCGTGCCTATAATAGTGGCCGATACCTAGGCGAAAGATTGAGGCAGTCGAGGGGTTTTGGAGGGGACAGAGCTTGGATGCGAGACAGCTGGTCGCTTGGTGTCTCGTCTGCTCCATCTTCCGTCGTTACCTCACACCTGATCTTGCCGCATATCCAAAGTCGCATCCGTGAGTACCAGGGAAGACGGGAAATGGCAAGGAGGTGGAGGAGGTGGGTGTTTCCAGCTTCTTGAAGCCCGCCCGGACGGAAACTTGAAGGTTCCATGAGTGAGTGTCCCTCGAAAGGAAGGAGCCCAAGTGCTAGGTAAGCTCCATGTGGCGTGGAGGGGTCCCGTCCAAGGTGAAGTACCTACCTTACCTACCTTACCTACCTCACCTCCCATGCCTCAAGATGTACAGGCAAGATACCACTCGGGAAGCATGTGCAGGAGGGGCAGGATACTTGCTGTGACGATGGCCCTAGCGTTGCGACATGTATTGCTACGGCCAACTTCCGCCGATAAGGTACACGTGATCAATTGTTGCAGGGTGGGGCCATGGGTAGCCAGCGTTGAGGTCTGGATGCGTTTTCCTCTATTCACTGTCGTACCTACCCGGTCTTCCTGCCCACTCAAGCCCCTCACAGATCAGTCCCTTCCATCTTCCAGCGACGAGCTCCCCCGATTCTTTCCCCAGCACACCTAAGTACCATACCTTCCCTTACGCGACCCATTCTGGACCACAGACTTCCACTCAAGTATCCGCAAGGTACCTCTTGCACCACAACTTCCATTACACCCGACCACAGCTTAGGTACCTTACACAACCACCACCACCAGACACCTTCAATAGCCAGGCCGGGTACACCTGTCTTTCTGCTCCAACTCACATTATCGTAAGTACCTTCTACCTTTGCTTTTCCCAGCCCATCCAGAAAAGAAGGAGTTTGAAAAAAATACTGAGGCGCACTTTCCCTCCCATCGCTCTCACACACTCACATTTACCTACCGACTTTTTCTCCTCCCATTTTCCGCTCCCACTCTTCTTTTCCTTCACCTCACTTCTCCACGACCGACCTCACTTCTCTCTCCCGGCCTCCAACTCTTCACCTCTTCCACCTCTTCACCTCACCAACTCTTCCAAAACAATTCCTCTCACGACCGCCTCTTCAACTCTTCCACTCCCACTCTCAACCTCTCGCCCACACCCGAGCGCCTCTACCTCTCTCCCATCTACTCCTCTACCCCTCCATTTCTCAACTTTCCCGATCCACCACCCACTTCAATCCACCACCTCATCCTCCCCGCCACCCACTACGCAACTACACATCCGTCACCGCAAACGAGCTGCACCAACGCACTCCAACCTACCAATCTCTACAGACCGAAGCTTCCGCTTTACGGCTTCAATTCACTAACGTCCTGCTTTATTGCTTGACAGCTGAATTTCTACAAGTTTCACGCTTCCACGTCAGCGCATTAACTTGCAGCCAGTACCTTCCTGATCAAAAGTTCAGGAAAATACTACAGTAAGTTGCAGCACACAAAACTACCACCCCGCGCCATCATTACCCCCACTTTGAACGTGCAAGAGCTCCTGGCGTCAATCCGTCCACCATATCAGGACGGGTCAGGGTCAGGCATAGCTGACCCTGAAAATCGTCACGCTCTATATGGTATAAAAAATCCCGACTACCAAAGTTACGTGCCACGGCCACGGTTTGGAGGTAGTTTCGATTCTCCTGTTCACCTTTACGCGTCCTCGGGTGGGGAAGTCGACGTGCCTGCCCTGGACTATCGGGAAAACCACAACTTCTACAAAATCTGAACTCTTACTCTCCCTTGCCTTTCACTCTTTCCTCCCACTACACCACTTCCTTTTTCACCCATTTTTGGGTTATTTGTTGGATTATTGTACTAATTGCGCCTTTCTTTTAGAATCCTTTTCGAATCAATTGCCCCAAGCACTTTTCGAATCGCTCAAAATGTCCGCTACTCAGGATAACATTGCTGCCAACGGCAACGACCTCGTCGGCTCCCTCGACCAGTTGAAGCTTGATGATGGCGAGACCCGTCTTGGCCCTGACGGAGAGCCCGCACCCCGCACCGACGAGGAGTACGCCGGCTCTCAGCTCACTTTGAGAGCCATCGTTTCCTCCAAGGAGGCCGGTGTCATTATTGGAAAGGCTGGCAAGAATGTCGCCGAGCTTCGCGACGAGACTGGCGTCAAGGCCGGTGTCAGCAAGGTCGTCCAGGGCGTCCACGATCGTGTTCTCACCATCACCGGTGGCTGCCAGGCCATTTCTGAGGCCTATGCGATTGTCGCGCGCGCTCTCCTCGAGGGCGCTCCCGCCATGGGCATGGGAGGTGTTGTCTCCAACACTGGCACCCATCGTAAGTCTACCTCATGTAGTGCGCAAGGAAGAAATCGCTGACATAGCAATCTCAGCCATCAAGCTCTTGATTTCCCACAACCAGATGGGTACCATCATCGGTCGCCAAGGTCTCAAGATTAAGCACATCCAGGATGTGTCGGGCGTTCGCATGGTTGCCCAGAAGGAGATGCTACCCCAGTCCACTGAGCGCATCGTTGAGGTCCAAGGCACACCCGAGGGCATCAAGGGTGCGATTTGGGAAATCTGCAAGTGTCTCGTCGACGATTGGCAGAGAGGCACTGGTACCGTCCTCTACAACCCGGTCGTTCGCACTCAGCCGGGCACAACCTCCACCGTCAGCGGCACTTCAAACAGCTACTCTTCCGGTGGCGGTCGCGCCTCAGAGTACTCTGCCCCCCGCGTCATGCGCACTGGAAACGGTGCCGACTTCAGCACTACTACCAACAACGGCGGCAGTGGTGGTCGTCCTTACGGCCGTCGTTCCGATTCTGATGCTGCTTCCCGAGGCCCTCCCACCCACGACGAGAATGGCGAGGAGCTCCAGACTCAGAACATTAGCATTCCTGCTGATATGGTCGGTTGCATCATTGGCCGCGCTGGAAGCAAGATCTCCGAGATCCGCAAAACCTCTGGTGCCCGCATCTCTATCGCAAAGGTATGACACCTATTTACCACAAAACTTCATGCTCAAGATAACTAATCTGTCCAGGCTCCCCACGACGAGAGTGGCGAACGCATGTTCACCATCATGGGTACCGCCAAGGCTAACGAGTCTGCCCTTTTCCTGCTCTACGAGAACCTTGAGGCGGAGAAGATGCGCCGCCAGACGGCCAACTCTCCCGAGTAAAAAAAGCGTTTTCAGAATCGTCCCTTTTCAGTTCGTCATCCGGCCTCAGGG